CATTAATGTGCTGCCAGTTTGCTGTGCCGTACCTGCTTGCCAAAATTACAGTTCTTCTGTTCCTGCTGAACTCAATAGCATTGTTCTCTTCTAAGGTTCCATTATTATGTAGAGTTTGCTGCACATAAAGAAAAACAACATAGTTAAAAAAAACCAGCAAAAGTGAGAACAGAATCTAGATGTTAGAATTCAGAAGGGTCAACATTTTTTTAAAAATACCCATTATTTTTGCTTGTGCATGATAGAAATTAGGACAACTGTAGGTAGAGGTGCTTCAAGGTACAGCCACTTCCAGGATCTCTGGCTGATAGTGAGCTTCAGCAGCTCTTCTCCCTGAGCATGCAAAATAACCCAGCCAGTGGTTTGAATCTAAAAGTTTCATTAGAAGTAGTGCAACCACTTAGTTTGAGAACTCAGTGCATAGAAGTGTTTTTGTTTCCTGTTGTTCATGGATCTGTAAGTTCTATTCTAAACAATTTGCAGGCATGTAGAGCACTTAAATAATAACACTGCTTTCATAAACCATTAATTATGTTGTCTCCAAGGTGCAGAATAACTTTGCTCATCTGCTCATTGTGCTGTTTTTCTTGTTCTGCTGCAAGTTTGTAATCCATCGTTTGTTCATTAATACTTGGATTATTCCTCCTACTCTTCTCCACTCTCCTTCTTTACCCTTTTGCAACGAAGTACTGACTTTTTTTTGTTTGCTTGTTTTTGTGCTAAAACAACTTCAGACTTGTTTGGCAACACTGCAGTGTGCTGTTGTGAACTAAATGAAAATAGGATTAGATAGGCTAAGCCTTTAAGCATCTAGTTGCCCGTGGAAAATAAATTATATTACCAGAGTAAGTAGGTTAACAAAGAAAAATGCTCTGTATTTAAGAACCTCACGGTGTCTAGTGTGGGATTAAGGGAAGCCCTGCTCACTCTGCTCCTGCATTCACTGATGGGATGTTACTCACACCTTCCCTGCTTTCCTCTGAGCATGTTTCTTCCAGCCTACTTTGATAATTTTAAATGCTTTAGGCATCATGGGCAAATTATATTTACTGTGGATCACCAGTTTTGTGTTATTTGGGCTTCATAGCTTTTTTTGTGTGTCCAAATGATCAAAACAGTGGCTTTTAGTCCTGGTATAAACAGAGAGATCAGCTTTGGAGTATTTGGCCTTCCATGAATCCTTTAACAAAAGTTTGGGGTTCAGCCTGTCTCATGGCTATACTTCATATTTACACTCTACAAAAGCCTAATAACACAGTCTAGTTGTAATCCTGGTGACAAGGAAGACCTGAAAATAAGCAAAAAGTGTGAGGGCAATCATTACAGATAGTTCTATCCCTCCTGATTTAAAGTGCCTTTATTCTGCAAATTCACTTAAGTTAAGAAAACTGTTGACATTAAAGCTGCTTATTTTACATTCATAGCAGACACCTGATTGTCATTGTCAGTGTGCTTTGGATAGCATTAGAAACTGGACCAAGGATGATCATGGGACACAAGCATCACTGTCAGAATGGTTTTGATAATTTATCATAAAGACTGTTCATAGAAGGTTTTCCTTTAGTGGCTCTTTGGGCTGTTTTGAACTTGAGGCTTTTGAAGCATTCAGGAGTTTTGTTTGGATGCATGCAGTGCTCCAGAAGATCTGAGGCATTGCCAGTATGTACTTGTTCTGTTATTTCTGAATTTTCTGAACCCGTTATTTCTGAAAGGGGACTTTTCTCAGGTCACTGTAGTCAGTGAGGCAGTTGAGACTCAGAGCAGTGGGGGTAACACTGTCTTGTGCCTTGGCAGATTTGCAAGGCTGGAGCAGGTGCACTCATGTCAGATTGACCTGAGCTGATGCTTTGATGCTTGCCTGTTTTTCAGTTAATGGAAAAAAGAGTGAGTTTTTTAAGACTACCTTCATTCTCCACATATTGTCAGTCAAAGAAAGTGATGTTTTTGGCAAAAAGAAAAAGCACCAAACCCGGGATGATTCAAAAGCAGTGCAAGGCCCATGCCAGTGCTAGCAAATGTCTGCATTTAAAAGGTAACATCTGAGAGCCAATACACCAGTGGCTGATCTGTAGACACCACTGAGGTTCTGTGTTCATGGTAAATAAAACACACCCTCCAGAGAAATACCGCACAAAACATGACAGGGAGCTGTGAAACCCATTAAAAAAAAAAAGGAGAGAAAGAGGTGCTTAACTTCTGTGTCTCTGTTGCATTAAAAGCTCATGACAAAGCATCCATCACCAGCATAGAACTGACTGAATGCACATGTCCTCCAGTCAAAAAGACCAGGCAAAGCTCAAGATGCAATATTTGCAATGCATGTGGAGAGACAGATTGAATTATAGTCCATCCAGCTATTTCAGACTTTATACTTCCGTGTTGCACTTTTGGATGAAGATTCTTACAGGGTGGAGTCAGTGAAATCCTGGTGTGATGAAGTCTAGTGGCAGAATCTGCATTGACTTCAGTGGAACCAGGGCTTTAACTACAAAATGCTGGCCCTTTCTCTGATTCTCTATAGACACTTTTCAGCTTTGAAAAGCCAGCACTTGCCATTAAAGAGATACCCAATCCTTCATTTATCTATGCCATATTATACAAGGTTGTTGGCTGTCTCTGATGGAAATGTTGGATTTTTTTTTTTTCCCAGCTGCATGAACATGTTTGTAATGAGTCATACACCAAAAAACAAAATTCAAAAAAGCAACCTGAGTGGTTTTACTAGCAGAAAACTCATCACCTGGCAAAGCTGTACTATCACCGCTCAGTCTCATAAATAACTGCTTCTTTCTTACTCTTAAAAGGAAGTCCATAATGTTTGATGAAACAATCAGGTTTCTTTTTTAGAAAAGAGAAACGAAGTTCAGGCAACAGCTGGGTTATACGAAGCATGTCTTAATTTATTTGTTGCTTTTTACTGCTAATTGGGGAGTGCTGCAAAAGGTGAATACTATTACTCGGCTGCATAGTTTCATATTAATTGCAACCATGAATATGTGATCAGTTGTCATATGGAAAAATAAACCCTGCTATCCTGCATCACTGATGATGGAAAGATGTTTACAGCCTTCATTATTTCATTTTTAAAGCTCTTTAGAAGGTTACTGAAACTTGCTGTGTAGAGGGCGCAGTTTATTCAATCATTTAAAGTGAAGGGTCTATAAAATACACTGAAAGTTGCTTCCTATAATGTAACTGTACATATATAGCAGTGTAATTATTGTGCAAAATCTTTGTACATAGTGCCACGTCTTGCAGAGTAGACCTTGCCTGCAAGCAAATGTTTGCATGTAAAATGTCCGTTTTTGGGCAAAAATGGCTGTGTCAGACCAAATGGCAGTTTAGATGATAAACTTCATTAGCTCAGTTTAGTGATATCTCCGCTGCGCTCTCACCATGTCAGAGTTTACCCTTAACTTCTCTGGCATTTGACCTACTCTTTGCCATTATTCATTTCTAGGATAAAACAAACTTCCTATTTTCTGCCTTGTAAACCACAGTATTTTGAATAGAAAAGAGATCCTGTAAACAACATCTCCCTACTGACTCTCTAAATTGAGGCTTTTCTTTCTTCCTGTGTGATTAATTTGTATGTTTTGTTTTGTTTCTCTTTAAATACTGTCATTTTGTGTCATTTTAAAATCCAGTTTGGATTTACAAGCATGTAATGCCTTTAATATCCTTTGAATTTGAATTGTGTTCCGTGGATTTCTGCCTCAGAAGGACAGAATCACAGCATCTCTATTCTTTGAATGACACCATTATCACTCTGTGTTAATGAAATGATTTGAGTTTTTCAAGGAATGAGGTTTTGAAACGCATTCAGTACTATTAAAGGGAATTGGATTGCAGCTAGAGCATATTTCAAAAAGAATAGAGTGATCCATGATATATGCTTAGGTCTTAAAGCACCTAATCCTATATTAATTGTGCTTTGGGCACATCTGCCCTCATGTGAAGGCGACTTTGACAGTGAAGATGAAAATGTTTTAATGCTTTTTAAGGCCAAACAGCTCCTCCAGCAGGATGGCAGTGCTGTGTTGTACTGTTCTTTATAGGCTGAGGAGACTCAGCCTGATATTACCACCTTATCTTCTTGCTCTTGGGATTGAGTCTGTGTTCATTTTATCCCCCCTGTTTGGACAGGGGAAGATCATTGAGGTATTTATGTACCACAGCCTGAAATGGAGAAGTTTTGTGTTTTCTCTGTTGTGCTACAGACTAGAAAACATGAGACCATCCATTCCAGCATGGTCTGTGGCACTGGTGGAAAGGGCTTGGTTTTAGATAATGGGAGAGCTCTGCTGGCTTCTCTGGAGAGGAGGGTGAACAGCTTAGTCAGAAGCAGATCAGGCTTTGGGAATATTTAGTTCAGCTTTCAGCAGGAGGTGTCTGTGAGGTGGGAAAATTGAGAGGGCTTCTGAGGAAATTATTTTGGAGAGCTTTGTCCTGTCTGGCAAGCTCCTTCCCCAGTGAAGGGCTGGTTGGACTTCACTTTTCCTGAATCTACATGCCATGGCCTGAAGGCAGCAGGAGTGAAAATAAGGATCACAGATGTGATTGTGTACCTGAAATACAGCAAGAGGTGGTTATTTCAGTTCTACTTCTGAGGGTTTGGGGCAAATTCAGCATTTTAGCTGCTCCTATCCTGTTCGTTCTGTGGCCAGATGAACTCCCCTTTGCCAACAGTAATTTCCCCTTCTGCCTGGAGTTGTTAAGGAAAGCAATTGCCATTTGAAGCTACTGAGCTGCACTCGAGCCCCTCTTCCCTGTTGCAGAGTTGCTTAATGGCTCTGTGGAACCCCCGTGCTGCTCTGCAGGGCTGCTGAGCTGGGGATGTGGGGGAACACGAGAGCTCAGCTGAGCAGAAATGGGCAGAGAGCCTCGTCGGGAAGCTGGGGATTTAAACCAACCCAGCTGTACTCCGCAGGGCTTGCTTTTCTCCCTGTCTCGGGGTGGTTTTGCCTAAATCATTAATTACTGCCTTTCTGTCTTTGCAGCCTGTTCCAGCACTACTGCTACGCCCGGGGTGGGATGCGCCACACCTCCTACACCTGCATCTGCGGCAGGTAAGTCAGTGCCTGACGCTGGACTGGGCAGTCTTTGTGGTCAGTGTCCCGCTGGATGTTTTAAAAATCGTTCCTGTAAGGCATGGGGTGTGTTTGCAAGTGCCACCAGTGTGGGTTCTCACCTGTTTCCACTGGAGAAGCCAGAGAGAAGTGGATAGCGCTGTCTCTTAAAGAAAGAACTTGGTTGTAGATTCTGCTGCACTCAAGAGGTTCTCCAGTGGCTGCTGCTGCTGCTGCCAAGATCATGTTTATGCTCACATCTGTGCTGCAATTGGCTTTTTTATTAAATAGTGTTACGGAGAAGGGCTTTAGAGCTACTCTCTGCTGCTCAAATATGCTTCTTTTGAAATACACCTTAAGTATTTAATATAATTCTCAAAATTCTCTGTCTCTCAAAGTTTAGGGTGCAATTAAAATAATCTCTTTGGAGTGTGGGAATCTTTTGCTCTCTCTTTCTCTTGCTGAATAGCTAGTGTTGAAGGTTATTGCATTTAAGAAAGCAATATAAAAGTTCTCCCTACAGTTGTAGAAATGCACCAGAGAACAGTGTAGGATATATGCTGAAGAACAGCTGTGTGCTTTGTGCACAGATTAATCTTACTTAGTGGAATTAATCTAATCAGAGATATATGACAGATGAAGCATATATGTTGGTATATATGTTCCACTTGTCATTCTGCTGCTGCTGAGAAACATTTGCCCTACACTGAAGTCACATACAAAAGATGATTTTTACATTAAAGACAATAATGCTATATTGCTGTGGAGGTAATAAGGACAATTAGCACCTTCACTTCTTTCTGTTGTTTACTCAATTGCTGATTTTTAAATGCAGTTTTCCAATTTATATGCGTGAGCAGTCTTATGGAAATTGTATATCCAAATTGTCTGAAAAGTTTCCTGTTTTAAATACCGTCATATAATTTGAGAATTCAGTTCAGAAGTGAATGATGACAGGAGCTTCCTGGGTGTCCTGTCCCACCAGGCTGGAGGGGCTTAGCAGGGCAGGGGAGTGGTGTTAGAGCTGCCTCTGAACTACTGGAGGATTTAAAACAGAGGATGGAATGCAAGAACCAAACAATATTGTGACTCTGTTGTAGCTGGGAGCTGGCATCCTGCCATTAGAATAAAAAGTGCAGACAAACTTGATTTAAAGAAAAAAATTGTATGAGATAGAACACAAAGACTTTGTCTGTAAATTTTTGCATTCTGACTATGAGTGAGGAAGAATGAATAATATTAGCAGTTTTAAGCTAGGTCCTAATAAATGAATGAATTCAATTAACATAATAATGGCAGAAATTAATAGACATTTTTTATTACCATGAAAACGTCATGCATTGTAAATATTTCACTTAACTACATTTACAACTAAAAATAGCTTTTGCAGTTAAGATTTTTGAGTGGTTACGTTTTATTCTATTCATGCTGAGTTTTGTATTTTTCTGAACACTTAAAATTGGCATATTTTGACAGGATCTTTCCTTCTGAGATTACAGGCCTGATAATAATTTCTGTAGGGGAGAATCATCTTTTCCGTAGAAGTTTGCTATTCACATTTTAAAAAAGATACTGACTAAGCTGGAAATCTGGAGTAATCAATATAATATTTCTGTACAGAAATAAATCACCTGTCACCTGATGATTTGTTGCTGTCCCTGTCCAGTGTTGTGTTCTGGAGGAAATAGTAAATGGATATGTGTTTTATGTATTTACTGTTATTATCAGAATAATCACACACATTGATTATTATTACAGGGTGTCACCCAGCGAGGTTAGTCCTGTGGTTGGTGATACTTTCACACACTGTCAGCTTGGGAGTGGTTTGAAGCACAGACACCAGCCAAGTGCAATTAAAGGAGAATGGAGCATTTGATAAGAATACTTGGATATATTTAGCTCTCATCTACCAAGTGTTGGCTTCCAAGTAGTGTTCAAAGGCTAATGAATTATTGTAGTGTCTTAAGGTACTGAGTAACCATTTTTACAAACGGGAAAGCAAAGGTAATCCATTCACAGTGTGTCCTGGTGACACTGGTAGATGGCATCCACTGAGAACCAGAGATTCCAGCTGGAGTTGGGTGGGAGCATCGGTATCTCTGCAGCCACCTCAGAAGCCACAGTCAGCTGCTAGTTGTTAATATAATTCTGCTGCAGCTTAGACTTGTTCAGATCTTTTTGACAGATGTCTCTGGGCAGATGAAAACTCTCATCAGATGATACCAGTGATTGGGAATAGCACTGTGCAGTAAAATGCCTTCCTCTATCTGAGGATCACCCTAAGTGAAGCTTTTTGGGTATGTCCAGGATACTCACTGAATCTGTTTTTCTTTCTTTCATTTCAGTACAACTTTGTAGTTTTCATGTCCTAGATGAAAAGTGGAGAGAAGGGCTTCCTTCTGGATTGTTTCTATGATGATTTAAATCATGGTGGAAGTAGTCTGTGGTTTTAGTTAATGGTCTGTTGGTTTTCCTTTGGATGTCCTTAATGCAGAGCTAATAGCTGCACTTTCTGTAATGCTTCATGCTCAGCATAGTCCTGTTCTTAAAATATTGCTGACTTTCCTTCTCTTTTTTCAAATAATTTGTTTTCAGGGTGCTTTCTGATCTAAAATATATCTTGGGGGTTCGTTTTCCTTTGCTGGTAATGGGAATCTCTTCCTACGCTTTGCATTCTCAGTGGTGTTAATTTGCAGCTTTTCCGCTGCTTCATGCAATTCTTTCTGTAACAAACACGTTTTTGGCACCAGTTAGAGGCAAATTATTAAGGGAATAAATACTGATAGACAGAAACCTCTTGGAGGGCTTTCCAGGTTGGCTGCCTGAAGGCAAGCTCTGGCACCACTGCGTGTGGTGGTTTTGCTGACCAAAAGGAAGGCAGTGGAGCTGCCAGTGATCCTCACCTCCCCACAGCGCTTCATCTTAATCCCCAGCTTGGCACTCTAATGCCAGACCTTTAGATTGTTTCTTCTTGGGAAAGAAATAAATAGCTTCTACAGGAAGGCTCGTTGTCTTTGCCACTGGCTGGGGGCTTTGTTTAAACTGTTTTGAAGCCACCTTGAAAGTCCTGTTGAATCAACGTGAACGACTTCTGGCCAGCTGTGGCATTTACCCTGTGGGTACACATCACTTTTGTAGCACTGCTCCTAAAGCACCTTCCCACCTTCATCTTGGGGCAGTGGTGAAGATGCATCCTGTGGGGGAGGTTGGACGTGCAGCTCTTGGCAGGAACCAGCTGTAGGTGTTTTAGTTCGGGTCAGAAGTGCATTTTTCTGGGACGAGCTCTCCCACTTATCCTCAGCTGCAGGACCTGCTCAGAGCCAGGGACCAGTCCTGCAGTGCACATGCTGGATTTGTTTCGGGTCAAAACCAGCTGGGACAGCTTTCAGGAGCAGGCCTGCCTTGGTTGCCAGTGGGTGTTGAGCCTGGGGGACGTGCCCAGAGCCAGTCCCAAGGGCGCAGATCTGCTCACTCCAGTCACTCCAAGCCTGCACTGCACGTGGTATGCATGTCTGGTCTTCAGCACCAACTGTGCTCTCCGTGCTCTGATCCCATGTGCACAGCAGAGCCAAGATGTGCGTGACAGATAAGGAGCCTCAAATGCCAAGAGAGATTGTGGCTCTGAACGCTTCACTGACGGTGCTGAAAAACAGATTTTTCATGCATCTCCCGTCACAGTTGGTGCTGAACCCTACAGAAATATTTTGTAAACTAAAACCTTTACATTAAAATGTGCAAAAGGCATCCCCTCTTCTTTGTGTTTTCAGTGCCTTTTGTTGAAAGTGTTTGTGCAGTCCTCAGATTTGAGTATATGACTTATTTATGCCCTGGTGTGGTGTATGACACCGAGGGTGCCAAACATACGAGGATAAGTAAACAAGCTGTCTGCAAATACATTAGCATGGAGTCATGCCCTTAAGCTTCATGATAATTTTTTAAAAGTTGATCATAAATATATGCATGTGCTGTTTGCCTCTCCTACTTTATCCCCGTTTTTGGAGGGAGATAAGGAATAGTATCTGCAGCTAAAACCCTGACAGACTGCTGTGCAGTGTCTCTGTGAACGTGGCAGCTGTTGGTGGGTTTTAATTATTTTCTGTATTTGTCCTTAAACACCAAGCATGTGAGTTCACAAACAGTGTCATGCGCAGCACCAAGATCATTCCAGTTGTTTCCAGGTGCCACCCTCCCAAAATCTCAGCCCTCCCCCTGGGAAACAGTTCTTCAGGCAGGAAATGATGCTGACAGTCCATGGCAGAGGTGGGAGTAGCCTGCTCTGCTGCCCCTTGCACGTGAAAGGAGGCAGCTGAGGCTGGGAACACAATTCCCACCTTACACATTACCTTTTCTTTCCACTGCACTCCTCCGTTGCCCTATTGCAGATTTTTTTTCTTCACATAGAGCAAACTAATTTTGAAAGTGTCCTGGTGTGGAAAACTGTTCCAACAGTGCCCAGGAGACAGGACATCTCAGAAGGAAACCCATGTCTGTCTTTATCCTGTGCACAAGTTTTATGGAGCCATTTTTAGCTATCTGCACAACAACAGAGGTTCCCAGGTCCAGTGTCCAGGAAGGAAAAAGCATCCAGCCAGTTGTGAAACTGTGTTTAAGCCATTGGACCAGAATCATGGAATTAGCCTTAATTCCTAATTCCATGGGGGTTTTTAACTCTTGATTTAACAACTTTAATTTTCCCCTTTGGAGTGTGTATAATTTTAAGAAACACACTTTGTATCAGAAAATCATTCCCATGATTCTGAAATCACCCTTCCCTGCCTTATTACATAGTGATTCTTACATGCTAAAAAATACTTAACAGTAAATACTTATTGTTTTCAAAATATCAACGTGGAATTATTCTAAGATCATCAAGTCCAACCATTAACCCAGCACTGCTGAGTCCACCACTAAATCATGTCCCCAGGTGCCACATCTACATTTTAAGTACTTCCAGGGACATTATCCAGCCAGTTAGATTGATGATTTGCTCCGTGCTACCCCACAATCATTGTGTTTGGAGTTACTGTATCTGGATGACTGATGATCTATTAAATACCCAATTGATCACAGGTATTTAGTGTATCTTGCAGGTAATCTCTGTTTGGATGCAGTCCACGCTTACTGCTTTTGTAATTGCACCTATCAGAGGTCTAATGTGAGAAGTGTGCCAGGTGTCACATTTACTCCGGGTGCAACAAAAGATTCCTTGAAACGGAGCTCAGGTTCCTGCCACCTGAGGTGTGAAGCTGTTCCACCATCACACACTTAAAAGAATCAAATTTGAGCAGGGTGAGCAGTATGGTTTTGACTAAAGCTGAGGTACAAACTGGCAAGTCAGCTGGAGGAGTGAGAGAGATCCCCCAGTAACCCTGTCCCAACATATGTATTTTTAGATGTGATATAATTCTTTTAGCATTTTGAAGAAAAAAGTGAGGGCATCAATCTGAGGAGAACACCGAAAGAAAAATAGGTAGAGCTTGGGATCTTTACCAGCCTTTTAACTGACACTTTATAGACCTGGGGGGAATATCAGTAGAGAAGAGAGGATGCCAAGGGCAAACGTAGGTCACCAAATGGATCACAGAGCTTCACAACGACAGAACAAGGGTCCATCCTTCTCTGGAGCTGTTTTATTCTTGTGAAACAGAAGATTTTGCTCTGAAAGATTTCCAGGAATAAAAATCTTTTCTTTGTAATGTGATTTTTAAAATAAGAAGTAGGAAAAAGAGCGACAGTTTTCATACCTGTTACTTGCTGCTGACGTCGTATGCTGGGAAGCTCCCTGAGCAGCAGGCCACCAGAGGGAAACTGGAGCTGTTTCCCTGGACAGCTCCATTTTCCCAGTCCCAGTGATTCCTAGAGTGTTTCACACATGTCAGATTTTACTCCAGTGGAAGTTAGTTTGTTTTGTGCCTCAGACTACTTAACCTCAAATAAGGAAAAATATCACTTAGTAATTAAAAAAAAAAAAAAATCCAGATGGTAACAAGCAGGTGTAAGTTGAAAGATTACTTGTGCATCATTCCTTCCTTTACGCTGTCACAGAGATGGGAAATATTCATGTGAACTGTGCCAAGTCCCTTCTGCTCCTTCCCATCCCCAGCTCTGCTGCACTAGCGGCTGGGCAGGGCTTGGGAGAGCTCTCACTGCTTCCTGTATGATTATGCTGATGTTTTTACAGTGTTCTTTCTCACGTTGAGTGAATGTGTGTGTGAATGTTTCTTCTCTCACTAACTGTGCTGCGTTTTCTTTGTGCCTGCCAGTGGGGAGAACTCGTCTGTTTTGCACTACGGCCACGCTGGAGCCCCGAACGACAGGACTATTGAGGATGGAGACTTGTGGTAGGTGAAGGGCTGGAGTTTGTTTGATATTTCTGTTTCACTGCTGCTGTTTCCATGCAGGAATTGTAGGTACTCGTGGAGCTAGGTAGTAAAATGATGGCTGCATAATGGTCAAAAGTCTAAATCATTAAAACAGAATGTAACGTTGCGTGCCAAACTAGTGTGGTTTCCTCCAAAAGTCCTGTGTGCCTGCATCTACAGTTGAAAGGGAGGAGACTCTGTTTTCAAACACTTCTGGGCCAGAGGCACTCAGAATTTAATTTAAGAAATGGCTGTATTCTAAGTACAAGGGTAGTTGCAAAATTTGGCATCTGGGTTTGCTCTTGAACCTCAAATCCAAACCTCAGCTCTGATGGTGGGGTGGAGGATCACAAAATTGTTGGCTGCTTTTAGAGAACTGCATCCAATTGCAGTCTGGATTAGACCTTACAAATGCTTGTAAATTGAAAGACACACCTATTTGTGTGGGGTGTGACATATCAGATTGTAACTTTTGTACTTGGCTCAAAAAGCCTGCATTTATAAAACGCAGAACTAGTTTTGGAGGAGTTAATCTTGGAGGATTTGTACTGGATTACCTTTGGAGCACGTGCAAAAAGGGTGTAGGTGTGCATTTTCACAGGGGAATGTAAAGGTGTGAAGAAAAGCAAATTAGTATTATCAGCGATAAGCTCAAAACCTATTATGGAAAACAAATTGAATCTCAGAAGTTAAAAAATATGACTTATTGGCTAATGTTCCAGGCACATCTGCAGGTGCTGCAGAGTGAATTTGTGGAATTACAGATAGGTACTTTCTTTATAATACTGTAAAAAACTTTTAAGAAACTTCTTGTACAAAAGTTTATGTATTATCTTTATCTGTGGTTAATAGCTTACTAAACCCATCAAATACTACTGTTAATTTATTGCTTTCATTTATGACTATGTTGTGTTTGAGTAGATAATATGCTGTGAGGGTTTTTTTTTTTTTTTTTAATCAGGCAGGACACACCAACATGATACTGTATCAGCTGAGTCATTCAGTTAAATTTAAACACTTTTTACTGAGCTATGACACAATGCATTATGATACCCTGTATTTGAAATAAAGGCCTTTAAATTTCGAGGGAGACCTCAGGGTGAAGGATATATGTAGGAACCTTTTATTTGCAGTCTGAGGACAGTTTAGTGGGTGACTGTAGTCCCTCTAAACCATGAGAGCACACACAAGACTCTTCACAAACTCTTATTTCCTGCAGTATTGGCAAAATGTTTAAAATATGTGGGGGTTTTATTATCCTCATATGTGAATGTCAGGAAAGCCTCATCTACCAAATACATTGATCGCTTCTTAAGCATTTGGAGGCCACTGAGCAGCAACCCCACTTTGCAACCATCTCCACAGAGAGAACAAGGTTTGATACAGTTTAAAATAACCTCTTGTTTGAGCGGTCCAGTTGCACCGTGGTGTTGATGAGATGGAGTTTGTCAGGTGTAGATTAGTTTTAGCAAACTGGTGCTCCACGTGCACGAGCACCTGTCTGAGCCTCAGTCTCTGCCCCTACCTTCTCCCCCACTCACACACAGTCAGGCTCTGCTCCACACAAGTTTTCTTGGTACTTTTCCCAAGTGAAAATAAAAAAAATAGTAATAAGAAAAAGTAATTTGATTTCTGTAAAGACAATTTAAAAATACGCTCATTTTTCACAGTTGAAAGTAGTGTTTTGGAAAAAAAAAAAAAAAAAACATCTCGAGGTGGCTGCACTATCAGCATACAAATAATGCCAGGGCACTGCCTGGGTGGATTCACTGTGTGCTTTCACAAGGTTTAATTTGGGTGTAGATGGGTGTGTGTGTGTGCATACAGAGCAGGGCATTAAAACCACAGTGTGCTGATGTGTGTGTGTGTGTATCATATATGTGGCCTTCAATTAAGCTTTTTAATAGCTACGGGGAGCCCTCTGTTGGATAATCTTAGGAAGCCCTGAGCACGGGGAGAAAATAGGCTTTACTTCTGGTGAAAAAGAGTTTAGAAGTGTTTTAAGGGTTATTTCTGTTTCCTGCCAGTATTTTGGCATAAATTTAATTTAACGATTTATGTACTTGTATGTAACAGAATTGGGAGATTGGGTACTTGGTATGATTTTTATTAAATCCTTCAGTAGAATTTCATGTCTTTTTCTTGACATCATTTAGTAGATGTGAATGACATTCATGAGTTTTGCAGAAATATGCTGCTCAGGTTTTTTATGTGCAAAGCAGTGCAGTGCCATTAAATAAGTCAACAAAGCACCTGAATAATGGAAAAAATACATTTGAAAGACTAATGCTTTACTTCTCTGAAATGCTCGAGTGCATGCATTGTTTGCTCTTTTGAAAATATAAGTTACACAGATTTGGTTGTATCAAAAGGAGATCATAGGCCAAAATATTTGTGCTATTGCATTTTTATATATATATATATTTTTTTTTTTTTTAAGACTGTTAGTGTGACTGCTTCAAAAACTGTGGCAGGTTTAGAACAGCCTGGTTTTATGATGTTCATTTTTTAAAATTAACCTATATCAAATGGGTTTATTGCTTCTGTAAGAAAATGGTATGGAATTGCATCTCTGATATTGCATCATAATCCACACTTTTTATAGGTACAGCTTCTGCACTAAAAGATCCCAGTGCAAAACAAAGACTATCAAGAGAATTTCTGACAGTTCTTGTTAATACAGACTGTCTTGCTAAGCAGGGCTGTAATTTTCAGTCTATTAAATATTAAAATAGCTAACTAGCACAAAGCACTATGATTGACACAGAAATATTTCTAGGGAGGGTTAGGTATTCTATAGATACAGGCATTTAGCTGGTATGGATATTAAAAGTAAATATTGCAATAACAAGAAGTCATCGTTTGATATAAAAGATTCACGTACATCTGTGTGGTGAACATTTAAATTGTAATGATCCCTGTGCTCTAAAGCAAACACTTTTCCCAAGCAAGGGGAAGGTCAGAAAGGCCGTGCAGATAAATGTGCAGGCTGACCATCCCTGCAAATCACTGTTCTGGGCACTTGACCCTTTCGCTTGATATTAACTTTAAATAAAATCTTCTACGTGGAATGTTTCGAATCACAGCCTGCAGTGCTGACCCACAGCCAGGCTAATGCACGAGTACTGATTTCCTTCTGTCATCTTAAACCTGTGACAGCTGGGATTGAAACTGAGCCCTGGACTGCATTGTCTCAGGTATTGCATTACTAACTGTATGTCAAGACACCTCTTGTTTCTATACTGAGGCTGTAGCTGTGTTTGGTGTTAGGAAAAGTAGAGTCATAAGCAAAAGAACTTGTTGTAGTTTGCAATTTCCCGCCCTGTACACAAGAGGCCTCCAGCATTTCAGACAACCAGAGGTCCTTCAAAGTTTGGTGAGGAGTAGAATGAAATTAGAAGTGGCTACTCGAGAAGACAAAACCCCAAATAAATGAAAGGAGTAGAGATCTGACTCCCTGCTGTGCACAAATGAAGAGCAAATGGGACTCCTGCTCATCGGGTGGCACTGGCTCCTTCTCCCTGGGCAAGTGTCTCATGAGCTCTCCTCGGGCAGACGTTTTGCTTTTGTTCACACTGTGGAAAGATATTGGTTCAGTGGTTAGAGAGCCCTTGTGGGAGATGGAAACCTGCTTTCAGCTCTTCTAAACTCTCCCTGGCTGGAAGTAATGACTTGAATGACTTGACCCTGGAAAACATCATCCAGAGCAATTGCAGTCAGAGCCAGTGAGCTGCTGTGAAAAGCACTGGTCCCAGCAAATCAGCCTCTGCCTTCTGAAAAATCAAAGCTTCCTTAAAAATAAAGGAAGCAAATTGCCTTGAGTCCTCCCTTGTGTGTGCTGCCCCTGCCCTGGTGGTGCTGCGGTGTGGAGTCACACCCTGGCTGGGGAGAGAGGGGAAGGGAGAACATCAAAGCAGGAACAGAGAAAGCCTGGGGCACGGCAAACATCCCTTCTCACCTCTGTGGTCTGGTGCTCTGTTCTAGGAGCCATCAGAGGTGCGAACCCGGAGTGTATATTTTATATTTTGATTTTGAGAAGGCATTAAAATGGGGGTTTACTGCCTGCCTTTGTGTGTTCCCGGCACTGCCGCCTGCCAAAGGCACCTCAGGAGTTGATTGTTCTGTTGCAGTTGATCAGCAGGGCTCCTGCAACATTTGGCAAATGGAAAATGCTTCTATGATCTTAAAATAAAGATTGATTCTTCGTGACGAGGCTCCCACTTAAATAATAGAAATGTGGGAAATGCAGCCCTGACCCCAGAGGTGACTGAAATAGTTATGGCTGTTACCTCACATGCTTCTCTCAGGTGTCACGAGCTGCAGGTCTTGGCCTTTTTATGGCATGTATTTCAGTGGAAATTCAGCATTAGTAAGCAACTTTCACTGGCAGGTTCACTGAACTTCAAGCACTTAGTGCCATTTTGGGGAGGGTTAGTTGGTCCATTTTGGCTTCCCAAAAATAGTGGAAAGAATTGTGTTTTCTGCTGAATAGACAGCATTTTTGACTCAGCATTTTTAATGCTTTGCAATGTCCTCCCAAGTCACAGTGTTAATGAGCAGGGGACCCCGAGGCTGTGCTGGCTCTGCTCTGCACACCCTGAGAGAAGTTGGGCACTCTGGTACATCCCCCTGTGGGTCCAGGGCCCAGCACTGGCTGGTGGCAGGGGGATACTGGTCCTCCCTGGAGCGAGGGCCAGAGTGTAATTTGTTAAGATGGCTTGGGTGAAAGCATAAATAAGGGGAGTGCAGCATCAACTGCTTGTGAAGTGCAGCAGACCTCAGAGAGAGACCATTAACCTCTCATTCACAGTGGGACCATCTATTATTTACAAAGTACAACTAGCTTTAAAAGTTTAAATGGAAGCAGGTTGGATCGTCAAATAATGTCTTCCATTTTATTTGACTGTTTAACACTCTCATAATTACTTATTGATTACTTATTTCATTGAAATAATTTATTGATTTCAGTGAAAGCGTCG